GAACTATTTTTGCATAGACTAAAGTACAAAGCAGTGAAAATCATTAATAGGCAATCGTTCGGTGGGTTGAATTGCACAAAAAGCATGATCGCACCGGCTAGTCTGATGCGCGTTGCTATTTATTTATTTTTTTGCCACCATGAAATGATGAAATAAGATAAATAAAATAAAATACGATAAAATGTTGAAGAAAAAAATTTTTTTAATGCTAAGAAATGTTTTGGTCCATTAAGTCATATACATTTCTTACCATTACCACAACTGAACCTCGTCAGTACGACGATTGTGGCGATTAGTATGAGTTTGATTAAAATTTAAATTGTTTCGTTAGAATGGATAGATGAAAATTTTCAGTGTAACGTTAAAATATGCATTTTGCAGAAGGTGTATGGTTCGCCAAAAAGTTTTCGTACACAGAAAATTCTGATCGCAGCCAAAATCGCAAACAAAGATGTGAGTGTTGTGGACCAGAAACCGCCGCACAATAAATTCCCGCTTGGCATAGTTAGTTTTCCTTTTCCGCTTGTTCTGTGTCTGCTGAAAGGTTCATTATTTTGCGAATTATCTAGCCAATTTACACAGTAATTTTCTTGCAGAAACTTTCATACGAATGCCTTAAATTTTGAGGCCAGTATATGGAAGATCTGGGTCAAGCCAAGCAAGGTAGCTGGACAGGTAGTCAGTCAAGCAGCTTACAAAATCTGACAAAAAGCGTAAAAGTTTTGGTGGATAAAATCATTATCTCAAAAACCACAGAGGCTAGGAAGCTGAAATTTTATGGGTATGTCCTTGACCGCGTGCCCGCGGATAACATGGACACGGGAAGGTTGAAATTTAAATTAAGTCAGAACTAAACGGCAAAACTTACAAGACAGCAAAAGCTACATTTAGCTTTTACACATATGAAAAAGAAAGAAAATTGCTTTTAAAAAGGTTATTTTTAAAAAAAAAAGCTTTTTTTACATATTTATTAAAAAGTTTTTTCAAAAATGTTCTCTCCCCTCCCTGTTTTGGCCATAGGAACAAGCAAACGAACTGCAGAGAGATTTCCTCCCCGCACTAACAGAGTCGAATTCTCGATCTACAGCGGGGAGACAACGCTAATTACCACTTCACCAGGAAAGCCAGCTCTGATGCTGATGCCATAATTTCCTTTTATTTTTTTGCTAGTATTTTTATAAATTTTTAAAAAAAAAGTATATTTTTTAGAAAGAAACTGAATTTTCTTGTAGTCTTTGTTAATTTTAGACTCCTGCATTGGAAGACAAAAATGTGACTCTTTTTGGCAGCGATGCAATTATGCTCCATCTGGCAGGCGAATCAATGAAAACAGCAAATGTTAGCTTAGAAATTTCTTTAAATTTTGTTTTTTTTAAGATTTCAATTACGTTTTTGTGAACTTATATTTTACACTTATAATTAGTTTAACTGCAATTGCTGGGTTTTATAGTGCGCTGAAGTTTTGCAATGGTTGCAATGGTCCGAAGGACAATTACTTCCCAATGTACTCGGTTATGTGCTTCCAAGCGTTTCGGCTGCCTCTGTTGACAATCAGGTGAGTTAAAAAAAATAAATTATTTTTTTTTTTTTGCTTAAGACTTTTTTTTTGTAAATTTGGATATTTATGCTTTTTTTTTGCATCTATGCAATGCAGAAAACGCATATTGACGAGAGGTTGTCTGTGTGTTCGTCTCTACCGTATAGAGGCCCCCGTCTTGAAATTGGGCGCTCTTACCCGTGTGATACCCACGTGCGGGCCCGCTAAAATTTTTTCGGGTAGTTTGCTAATTTGGGAACCTGAGAAGCTAGAAGGCTGGAATTTTAAGGGGATTTTCACGTCCACGTAGGTATTAATGAGTTCAAACCCAGTCCCGGGTATGCTTGGCTCCTATGTACGGGCCCATGAATCTTTTTTGCGGGTAAACTGCTAACTCCGAAACCAGTGAAGCTAGAAAGCTGAAATTTTAAAGAGCTGTTTTCAGACAGCACTGGCGGCTAGTCTCATTTTAACTAGTAGCATTTGCCGGAAAACCGGTGATGTTAGCGACAAAAATTTGCGGGGAACTATGCAAGAAACGCATCTTTGCACCGGCAGTCGGTGTGCTGGCCATTTATTGTTTTTAAATGAACCTATAAACTTGGCATAAGTCTACTTGTATAAAGGCGAAATCCTCGCCGTGCCGCCCATCCTCCAATCGGAATTAGAAAATACAGAAAAGAAAAGAATAAAAATTGAGTCATTTTATATGCGGTACCAAAAATTACGCTCTTTTAACTCTTGGAATCTTGCTGTTTTTGGATAACGCGCACTCGAGTGCTTCGCAACCCTGTTGCTTGAGCAGCTGTATGTGACATGCTGATAATGTTATCTGAAATCCCTCTCAGTATTTGTCTTATGTTTCTTTGATTTGAAGATCTCATATTTAAGGGAACGTCGCTCCGTCCACGTAGAACTTAAACATTTCAAATTCTGCCCCAAGGTATGCGTGGCTCTCACGTAAGGACACTCAAAAGTTTTGGCGAGAAAATTGCTCACTGATCAGCTAGTCCATTTTCAAAAATCGACCGTTAAACGGAATTTGTTCGCTTTCCTTTATGCAAAATGAAATAGAACGTATGGATTGTAAGATCAAAGACTGTTTCTTAAATACGTGCGAGCTTACCCATCCGGAAAGCCTCGTGGGCCCCTAGTTACATGATTCTAGCATTTTTGCTTCGAATATGTTTACTTTGTAAACATTGTTTGTTTACAGAT